CACTGAGGTACAGGCGCCAAGCCTCTCTCTCTTTTCTTTCTTCCTTTCCTTCCTTTCCTCCTTTCCTTTCCCTCCTTCCTTCTTTTCTCTCTCTCTCTCTCTGTCTGTCTCTTTTTTATAAAGGGAAAAGAAGGACCTCTGAGGTGGAAAGATAGGGAGTTTAAAGCCAGAGCATTAAACTTTCTCTGGGATGGGAGAGATAAGACAGTTATCAATTCAGACAGAGGATAGGGCCACAGCAAGTTCAGCGGGGGAGAGAAGTTAGCCTCTGTGTATGTACCAGAGGGTATCAAAACGGCTCAATAAATGTACCAGAGTTACCTGTTACCTCTCACACATCCTGACTAAGGGGTGAGGGTAGAGCCATGTAGAGGTGAGGATATAAAGAGCTAATGATGAGAAGACTTATCCTAAGCCCTATTTTCAGCTTCAGAGAAGGGCTGCTATATGTCATGCAGAAGCCATTGTAACACACCAGCCATCTAAACGTGAAGGGGCTCTTCTGGGCACAGCACTGGAATACAGGACACTCCTTCTAGTCCTGGTTACGTAGTTCCCATCAACTTGAGTTCAGTTACCATGGGGTGGGTGGCAAAACTTACTTTTTCTTTTTTTGAGACAGTCTCACTACATCACCCTCAGTAGAGTGCTGTGGTGTCATAGCTCACAGCAACCTCAAACTCTTGGGCTTAAGCGATTCTCTTGTCTCAGCCTCCCAAGTAGCTGGGACTATAGGCGCTTGCCACAACCCCTGGCTATTTTTTGGTTGTAGTTGTCAGTGTTGTTTGGCAGGCCTGGGCTGGGTTCGAACCTGTGAGCTACAGGTGCTGAGCCGAAAGTTTTACCTTTTCTGTCTTTGCCCACTACAGTGTTTGCTCCAGGGATGACAGGGATTTTTCCCTGTCTGGTTCATGGATTTATCCCCAATTTCTAGAAGAGAACTTGCACATAATGAGTATGCAGTCATATTTTTTCTGTTGAATAACCAGTGGCAGATTCAGAACAAACTTTACCATCTTCCTAGGCATACCTTGGGCCAGTCATTTAGCCTTTCAGAAGTTAGTTCCTCCTCCCTTTAACTGGGAGAAGAATGGGCCCTACATTTTCTTTCTTTCTTTTCTTTTTCTTTTTTTTTTTTTGAGACAGAGTCTCATTTTGTCACCCTTGGTAGAGTGCTATGGTGTCATAGCTCACAGCAACCTGAAACTCATGGGCTCAAATGATTCTCCTGCCTCAGCCTTCCAAGTAGCTGGGACTAGAGGCACCTGCCACAATGCCCAGCTGTTTTTAGAGATGGGGTCTTGCTCTTGCTCAGGCAATCCACCTGCCTTAGCCTCCCAGAGTGCTAGCATTACAGTTGTGAGCCACTGTGCCTGGCCAGGCCCTACATTTTCATATCATCCTAAGAAAGTGATAAAGAAATGGGATTATAGATAAAAATAGTGCTTAGAAATCTTAGCTGAAAGGTGTCCAGGGAAAGTGTGGATCCTGCCTGTGATCCCAGCATTCTGGGAAGCCGAAGCAGGAAGACTGAATGAGGCCAGGAGTCAGACTAGCCTAGGAAACACAGGGAGACTCCTTCTTTACAAAAACCCTCTAAAACATTAGCCAGGTATGTCCCAGCTACTCGGTAGGTGGAGACAAAAGAATTGGTTGAGCCCAGAAGTTTAATGCCACAGTGAACTATGATCATATCTCTGTACTCTCGCCTGGGGAAGAGCAAGACCCTGCCCCCATAAAATAAATAAGTAGAGAAAGAAAGAAAGAAGAAAGATGTCCAGTGTCTAGTATAAGAGCATAGGGCATTCAAGTGATGGGAGAAAGTTTAATTTTATCTTGATGAACTTTTGTTATCTAGCCTTTAATAGAAGAGCAAAAGCTCTATGTGCTCTTTCCTTGCTAGGGAAAACTTGCCTCCCCCAAAGAACTGAAAATTCAAAGGCATGTTCATTAACAATAGCCATTAGCTAGGTTATAAACATTAGCAGTAACCACCAGCATCTAAGGTCTTGTATCTCTGGAAAATCAAAATGATAGCGTGAGTCAGAATTCCTTGCTTTGAACTTCTTCTTAGAGTACCGAAGAGAAGAGATTCCTCCAGTCACATAAGTAAACAATGGAAAAGATCATATAAGATTAGAATACACAGGGCTGAAAAGCACACGCATGGAGAAGAATGAGAGTGGAGAAGAATGGGGTTTGTCTGCCTTAGGCTTACCTAGAGACACACACAGGTCAAGCTCTAAGCTGTTGGCACAGAGTCAAAAGGGCATAGCTGAGGCCCCAGATTTAAGGTGGAATGTCTATAAATGTCCTTTGTAATTCAGAAGCATATCAGGGTGTCCATACTTCCCTCTAAGCTCTATAGAACATGAGCTCTCTGTAACTGCTGGGCTTCCTTAGCCCATGACCTCATTAGCTAACTGCCCAAGAATAACCTGAAAGTGCTCACACCACCTCAACCTCAGATGGAACGATCAGATACCTGGGAGGTATTACCTCTGGGCAGATCAGGGTTAGCCACTCAGCTTGGGTCCTGCTAAGGTTATGTTCTCATTCCTTGTTTCCAACATTTTGCAAGCCTAAGGGATGACAGGCTAGAAGAGCAAACTCTCTCTTCCCTTCCTCCAGAGGCAAGGTATCATATTATCTTACGGAATCATGAAGTCATTTTAATCTTTTTCTTTGAAGTTCTTTAATCTGTAGAAGACATGTGGAAGCACTGACATATCAATTGTAGGTAGGACAACTGTTTTCCCTACCTTACAAATGAAGACACTGAGGTCCAAAGAGATAAAAAGTGATTTGGTCTTTGACAAGTCAGGAGACTTAACTGCCTGGTGCTGTTTGTTACAATTTACTCCTTCCCTTATTTTCTGACATACACCTAATAGGCCTTTTTTTTTTGAGACTGAGTCTCACTATGTCCTCAGTAGAGTGCTGTCGCATCACAGCTCACAGCAACCTCAAACTCTTGGGCTTAGGCAATTCTTTTGCTTCAGCCTCCCTAGTAGCTGGGACTACAGGTGCCTGCCACAACGCCCCGCTATTTTTTTTGTTGCAGTTGTCATTGTTCTTTAGCTGGCCCAGGCTGGGTTTGAACCCACCACCCTCGGTGCACATGGTGGGTGCTGTAACCACTGTACTATGGGTGCCAAGCCTAAGACCTTTTATACACAGGCATTCTCTAGAGTAGAGAAAATATTCATTTTAATTTAGAGGAAATGCTGACCTTTTTCCCTTACTCTTTCTTTTGTAGAATCAACTACATCACGTTCCTTGAAATGAGGCCAAAATAGACCCCCCTGCTGCTTCCATACACAGCTGAGAAGCAAACAACCTGCATTTCCTGATAATCCAACCTGCAGTTACAATTTACTCCTTCCCTTATTTTCTGACATACATCTAAGAGGCCTTTTTTTTTTTTTGAGGCAGAGTCTCACTATGCAAGTTCCTCACTAGCAAGTTCCAGAAATGAGGAACTGCCAGACACAAGAACCTTGTGCACTGAGCCACCAAACCAGAAACAGCAATCAAGCACTCTGTTTCACCCAATTTTGTCTAAGGAATCCTTTACTTCTAGAAGCTTTCCCAGGGTGCTAAAGAAAAAAGCATAACT